GACACTGTATTAAAAAATATTTTACTGTTAGGACACTGTTGCATACTTCACACACTGGTTTATTTTTGCGCTGTAATAAATAGTCATGAGTAAGACGTGTATGGCCGATACGGAGACGGGTAAGCTGCATTTGCTCTTTCCTGTCTTTTATTTTTGGTTTCCAGAGATGTGGATGTTTGTTGACTTCGTATAGCCTTGATGGACTGTTGTTCCAAGTTTGTTGCTATCTTTGAATTATTTTTTGTTTTAAGTATGGTTTTAAATCGTTTTGTACCAATATGTTACTTTCTTCGGACATCGGGTTAGTTGGTGCGTATTTAGCCAGCTTATGTACAAGTTCGTTACCTTCAATTCCGATATGAGAAGGCACCCATAAAAAGTGAACTTGGATGTTCTTATGAGGGGCTGTCACGGTGGAATTGAGTCAGTGAGGATAATGAACTTAGAGAATCTGTGATTATTATACATCTTTCTTTGTTTTTGTTTTGTATTAACGATAGTGCTTTTAGAATTGCGAATAATTCAGTCAAAAATATGGTTGTAATCGATGACAATTTGAAACTTACTAAGGATTCTTCCGAATAAATTGCTGCTCCAACTCTGTCTTCTATTTTTTGACGCATCGGTGTATACGTTGTAGGTATTGCCATATCTGTTGTTTAATAAGTGTATGAGACTTTTGTTTAATGACGGTTGATGATATTTCTGATTTTCTTAAGTTTGTTACACTGATGTCGATAGTAGAAATAGATATTGTCCATGGTGCAGGGTTGTGGATTGAAGATGTATCATAGGTTTTTGGTATTTGAAAATTTAATTTCGATAAGTATGATTGTATACGAAAGTAAAAAAGGATGATTAATTTGATGTGTTTGTTGAAATTTATTTGTATATCGATCAATAAAATCGTTATGCAGTACTGGATTATTTCGGTGTAATGATACTGCCGCTTCATATGTTAGACTTAGATATTATCTTCTGAGAGAAAGAGGAAGTTCTACACTTTCGCAATAGAGACTTTGAATGGGACTTGTGTAGTGATCACCTAAATAAATACGTAGACATCTATTTTGGATAATATCCAGTGACTTCAAATGTGTTTTTTTTTTTGGAGGAGTTGTAGACGATGGCTCCATAGTCAAGTTTTGAGCAAATTATAGATTGGTAAATAAGCATTAAACTTGAATACTCGGTACCCCAGTTTTTAAAGGCAAGTGATCGTAGAAAATTTATATCAGGTAGACAGGATTTTTTCAGATGTGTCTTCGAAGTTAATTTTTTATCAAACGTCATACCCAAGAATCAGATTTCTTCTACATATTCCAGTTTTTGTTCGTGTAGATATAATTCTATATGTTTGGATTCGATTTCTTTTTGAGAAACAGATCGCTTTCGTTTTTGAAGTATTAAACTGAAGTCCACTTGTTGCTGACCATTTCTCAATGTGTGTTAACGCTTTTTGAATGTAATTGTGAATCGTTGTTATGTTTTCTTATATATATATATATATATATATATATATATATATATATATATATATATATATATATATATATATATATATATATATATATATATATAGCGAGTTTTTGCAACTTTAATTTTGTCGCTTCTCGCATCCCAATCGCCATAATTTCTTATCGGCCCAGTCTCCTTCTTAAAGACCTCTATTTTCCATTTCTATGTGAATATTGGATATCCATTCTTTCTTGGCCTTCCCCTTTTATTTTTCTGTGTAGGTCTCCAGTTCCAAACCTTTCGTGGTATCCTTTCTTCGTTCATCCGTCTCAGGTGTCCATACCATTTTAATTGTTTTTCGGCTATCGTATCCATTATTGTGTTCTTTACTTTCATTCTCTCTCTTATGTTTTCATTTCTTATGTGGTCAAATAAAGTTAACCCGGAACATCTTCTCCAGTACATCATTTCCGTTGAGAGGAGTTTTTGTGACATATTATTGTTAAAGACCCACACTTCTGACCAATACGTCAGCACCGGCTGAATCATAGCCTGATATATATTTTTCTTTGTTTTCTTAGTTAAAGTTTTATTCCACAGGATCGGATGAAGTGTTTTTATCATGTTTTTTCCTTTGTCTATTTTTCTTGTTATATCTTTGTCGTCTCTCCCGTCTTCGCTTAGTGTAACTCCGAGATATTCGTACTGATCAACGTTTTTAATTAATCCGCTTTCTGTTTCCATGTCTTGACCGATGCCTCCTATATTCATGTATTGTGTCTTTTCGGTATTAACCTCTAATCCCCATTTTTTGAATTCGTCTATTAGTTTGTTTATCATGTACGTCATATCTTGTAGGTCCTCGGCAAGAACTACCTGGTCGTCTGCGAAGAGGATTGTGTATATAGGTGTGTCATTTACCCATATGCCCATTGGGCTGCATTTTCTCATCCAATGTTTTAAAGCATTACCAAGATATATTTTAAACAGGGTTGGAGAGAGGCAAGAGCCCTGTTTGACACCCTTTGTTTGGGTGAAACCCTTGGAAATTTGGTTTCCAACCTTAATATAAGCTTGGTTATCTTGATAGCTTTTTTACGGCATTTATATATACTGCATTTATACCTGCGTTTTCCAATGTTGTCCATAGTCTCTGCAGTGGTACGGAGTCAAACGCTTTACGGAGATCTATAAAAGTGGCATGAAGTTCTAGTCCTCTTGCTAATCTCTTTTCTATTAGATGTTTGAGAGTAAATACATTGTCGACACAAGATCTCCCTGGTCGGAATCCACTTTGTTCTTCGATCTCTGTGGCTTCTTTTTCTATTCTGGCTTTCAGAACTCTTTCATACAGTTTGCCAGTGGATGACGTAATGCTGATACCTCGGTAATTACTGCAGTCATTCCTGTTTCCCTTTTTGTAGATGGAGTTTATGTACGAGACTTTCCAATCTCTTGGGATACTTTCTCCTTGTAGGCACTTGTTAAACATTTTACAAAGCAATTCTAATGTTATTGCAGTGGCATGTTTGAATAACTCGATAGGTAAATCACCCGGCCCAGGAGCTTTATTATTTTTCATTTTTTGTAATGCGTTTTTTATTTCTTCTACGGTAATCATCGCCACTTCATTTAACCCCGTTTCAACTCTATCTATCTGTGTGTCTAGAAACTGTGTACGTTGTTCATTTAATAAATTTTCATAATAATTTTTCCATTTTTCTATGTCTATGGGGTTTATTTTTTTTGTTTCGTTTGTATTTTTCTAAGACTGTTGATAGTTTTCCAAGCTTGTCTGGACCTAGATCCTCCTACCATTGAGCTTATTTCTGCACACTTGTTGTCCCAGGTTATGTTTTTGTTTTTTTAATTTCCTTTTTTACTATATATTTGTATCTGTTATAGTTCTTTCGGTCTTCCTCATCTTTTGTCGCTTACCATTTGAGATACAGTTTTTTCTTTTCTTCTACCAGTTCTAATAAACCTTCTGTCCACCAATAATTTCTACGTTTTACTTTTTCTTTCGTACCTAGAGCTTCTAATGCTGATTCATGAATTTTGGTTTTCAAAGTCTCATACATTTCTTCCGCTGTTCCGTTTATTTCTTTGTCTAATTTTCGTGCAAAACGTAGTTTATAAAGAAAACTTGTGGACTCATTTTTTAAGCTATCTATGTTATAGAGCCGTGTGGATTCTTTGTTTGTCTGTTCTTGGGTTATTGGGTCTTTGTTATGTTTTCTTCTCTACAGAAAATAATTAGGTCGTCAGAGTATAATCTAGCTTTGACGGGGATTTCAATTTGTATTAATATCGAATTTATTGCTACTAAGAATAAAGTTGTGCTTAAATTTAATCCTTGTGGTATACCATTTTGTTGAATTTTTATTTGAGAATATGTTCCATCAACTCGAACTTGATGATTGTCTGTTTTCAAGAAAATTTGAAATGCATTTTAATATGTTACCCCTTATTAACCAGTTGCTGAGTGTTTTAATGATTGAATATTTCCAAACTGTATCATATGCTTTTTATTATATCCAAAAATATTCCAACACAATGCTGTTTTATTGCAAATGCTTCGTGGATTTCTGATTCTAAGTCAACGGTTGTCTAAAGTTGAGCGATGTTTTCGGAAACCACATTGTTCTGGTATAATTAATTTGTTTGATTCTAAATACCACATAAGCCTATTGTTTATTATCTTTTCTAATATTTTACCCATGCTACATGTGAGTGATATCGGTCGATATGTTTGTGGATCTGATTTTGGTTTAGTTGGTTTTAGAATAGGTATTATGATTGACTTTTTTCATAATTTAGGAATCATGTTTCTGGATAGGATTATATTGTAGATTTTGAGTAGATGTTCTTTAGATTGAGGGCCTAAATTTTTAAGAAATATAAATGGTATATTGTGGAGTCCAGGACAAGTGTTCTTACAATTCTGAAATACATTTTCTAATTTTTTCTTTGGCATTGGTATATTTAGATCGTTATGGTTTTGATCGTAATATTCTACAGGATTTTTTCTTTTTTTATTTTGATTTTAAGAAATTTGAGCAAAAAGAATTGAAAATACCTTTTGGGTATTTTAACTTGTACAAAAGGAAATAAAAATACAGTTTAATTATTCTTCGGTGTTTTAACACATACGAGGGATTTCAATATATACCAAAGAAGTTTAACATGCTACAACCTCTCTCTTGTATACTAAATTCTATTTTCAACGGTTTCGTTCTTGCTGCAAACTTGTTTAAAATGATACAAAAGCCTTAAAAAATGTTTATTGGAGCATAAACCGTGCTTTTTGTAATTTATTTAAAAAATAATTTGAACAATTTCTGCCCAAAAACTTCGTCCGACACTCTTTTAATCTGTTTAAAGGAACATTTTTAAACAAGTATCCGCAAAGAAACCGAATTAAAAACATTTTTGCTACGGAAGCGGTCTCACAACATGGACTATTACCAATTTACACTAAGATCAAGTGAAAAAATAATAATGTAAAATAATCTTTTTGTTTTTATTAAAAAGAACCTTACCATAATCTATCGCGCAACTTTTATTTTCTTTTGCGTCTTGATCCACATCTAATGTTGAAAATCTTGCCCCAACATGAAAACTTAAAGAATCACCTGCATCTCCGGAAAATCCATCCAGTTCCGTTAAGGTATATCCGTTTCTTTCGGGGTCTATTACAAATGATGTGTATTGTGCATATCCGATTCTATTATTCGTGTCCGTCACTTCTATTAATAGCTCACTTGTCTCAGATGCTAAAACAATATAGGCAAATATATAACAATAAGTAATGTAACATTTTTTTATTATTATTAATATATTAAATCATTTTTAATTCCTTTTACCCCCGTTCGATACGCCGATGATTAGGAATCCCCGTGTTTACGATAGGAAAATAATATTGTAGATACCAAGCTAAAACGGAATTCCCTAATTAAGAAAGGTTTTTAATCCTTCCGTCATAATATTCATTATGAAAAGAGTATAATGCTTTCTGGTATTCGGTTTCTTTTCATAAATTGGTAATTTTCGTCGAAGGCCCATATCTTTTGACATAAACTTAATCCCAAGTATTGTCTGTTTCTTATGTCCAATTGTTAATACCGATTATTTTACCTCAAACTTTCCAATAGTCGTCAAGGCCTTACCTTCTGAGAAACACATACAACTGTCCTATCATTCTTGAGTGGGGGAATATTTTCTTCTTCCTTTTTCAGGGACAGTTGGTGAAATTTTTAGTGGAACCAATTTACTTTTTGGTGGGCAGTTGTTGAGTGAGGTAATATCTCGTGAGACTTGTTGGTGGGCCGTTGTTGAGTTAAGGCCAATATCCCGTGTTACGCTTTGCTCACGATATTTCTTATCTTATCGTCGCTGTGAATTATTTTCTAAGTGTGTGTACACTTCATATTTGAGTTTTCTTTCCTTAAATTATATTAAATTATATATAGTTCTACACTACCTTTAATGGTTATTAAATTCAGTGTTTAGTACCAGAAAAGTATTAAATTCAGTGAATTAAGCTGCCTTCGTCAAGATCTACTGTAAGTAATCTTTATCTACAATTATCTGGGCGAGTAATATGGTATGGTATCATATCACCTGCCATTATCTGGACGTATCATCCATATCTTCACCTGTAAACTGCCGATTTTTGAATGTAATTTAAAGAACCATTCAATAAATTTCTATAAATAATACCTATGAACATACAAGTCTCAATTTTTTATTTAATAATAGTGCGAGATAGTTAATTGACTTAACCAAGTGCGGTTTGGTTTATGTTTTTATTTCTGTAACCTTTTTGTATTTTTGTACGTTTAGAGTTAAATAATTTTTGCTATCTTTTGTATTTCCTATAATTTTTGTTCATTATCTTTCCTATGATATCTCGAGATACGCCAAACTATATTTGTATATGATAGCCTTATATATCTTGGTAAAGGTATTTTCTTATTACATTATTGCTTATTTTTATACATATATAACACCATTTCATAGTTGTGTATTTTTATTACTTGTGTTGCATTTAGCAAAATCATAATTTTGTGTTTAATATATTGTTATTGTTTTATGCATGTATTTTATTTGTCGGCTCCTAACAAGTTCTCTGATAAAATAATAGCTTTGAACAATTACTATCTTTAAATATTACTATGCTTTTGAACTGTAGAAAGATCAGGCTGATTAAGTTTCGTAGGTAAGTAAGTGTAATACTTAATATATTTATTATTTGTTTATATATTGCGTTGGCCAGATTTATTTGGTAATTTACTGTTGGTATCTTTCCTTGGGGTTGATCTCTGAACCTAAATATCTTTTCTTATCTCTTTTCTTTTCTAAGGTTTTCTTAATTTTCTCCTTAACCCCAAAAAATTGAGTGGCGCCCTGTTTCTATCTTCTCTTATCTTTGGTAATTTTACCCATCTATCTTTTTGTTTATTTCTGTATCTTTTCTAATATATCTTATCCTATCTTTAACTATTTCTTCCGTTGGATCCATTCCCGGTTCCAAAAGCTAGTTTCGAACCCACGACTCGCTCTCCACCAACCATCTGGCTACCGTCCGCAGTGTCTCCATTGGTTATCTTTCTAGCACCACCCAAAAAAGATTTCCGAGGTTACAGTAAAGTTTAAAACGGAAATTTTGAGTCGTTGGCTGTATACCACAGTTTAAAAAAAACTTAGAATAAAGTAAAAACTTTTTTTTAATCCTTGATTACCGGACGTGTTTAGCCACACGTGATTACCGGACTATCGCAAATTTTACTACCTATAAAAAATGCCTTCTAATTACCTTATAATTTACTATGGAATCACTAACATAACAGGAGAATATTACTGTCATCATGTCATGTGTGTGTCTTTTTAAAGACGAATTATATGCTATGATTTTTTCTGACGGATATTCTCAAGTTTAAGTTGATTTGAAGTAATCGAATGAACTATCTTATATCTTATAAGTAAAGTCGTCCCAGGAGCGCAACTCAACAATATTGGCAATATCATTTTAAAGTCGTCTACTTTAAAATGCATAATGTATGTCTGAATTGCCAATATAAATGAGTCAGGTAAAATTAAATTATTAGAAGAATTTTTCACTATGTAACAAAAAACAAAATTTGTTTAATTTACTGTTTGTATTTTGAGAACGATTTCCGAAGTGGAAATTGAAACGTCAATAAACATATTTTTATCTTTAATTGTGGCTTATTCCCAGTTAAATAGTGATTAATTATTTTAGTTGTCTGATGAATATAAAATTGTTTAAATTTATTTAAATTCTTATAAAATTTAATGTTAAAAATACGCAATAATAACCATTTAAAACTCACGAAATTTGATTTTTATATCTCAACCAGTTTTAAAGCAATAAATAAATTTTTATAAAGTCAATCGGACGCACTCAAATAATATTTATCTTGATGAATAATTGCCCGTATTGTGAAATAAGAACTAACTGCTATTACCTGTCGTATGGTAAATATTCTCCAATCCCATCCAAAATTCCCTTTCTAAATCTCCAAATCCAAACTTGTAGTCTATCCAAGGTAGATAAAAGTTCTGAGATCCATCAAAGCGGTTTTGAATATGTGTCCAACCACCACCTCTAGTTTCCATATCGCAAAGAACAGCAAATGGCTTGTTGCTTAAAAGTGGTTTTATTTCATATACTCCAGATTTATTATTTCCTAAAAGTTGAATTATTAGTTTAGGTTAGTTTTAATTAATTACAAGCAGTAATAAACAATGGTGTTAATAATAAAAGAGCGCAAAAACATATGATAAGGATTTATAAAAGTTATACAAATTCATACCATCAACAGTAAAATATAATTTAAATTGACAATAGTCAAATGTTAAGCATATAATATAGTGTATTTTTATGTATGAGAGAGTAATAAAACAATAAATTATGTATGCAAATCCCTAAACTGTTGATACGGGTGACTTAATGAAAAACAGATATTTGTCAACAAGTTTACAGAAGTATATAGGAAAACAATTTTAAATTGAGTATGACCACCAGGTCATACTCAATATAACTCAATATAACAATATATAATAAAGGTTAAAATATCACTATAAAGGTTGGAGCAGAATAGAACACAATAGTTGTGAGGGTTACTAATCCCTAAATAAGGTTGCCAGTGTCGGAATGATGGAGGTTAACAAGTACTAATGAATTTGCAAGAAATGTAAGATGTTTATTTTATTGGTTATATATAACCAATAACAGTTTAGTTAGTACCTACCTATTTGCAAAATAAAGTTTAATTCTTTAGATAAAATAAAACGTTTTATTTTATCTGAAATGAGTGAATTCCACGAAGTAAGGGTTTCAACAATCAAACATTTAATTCTTTAATTCCAGGAATCTACGACAGTAATTGACTAGATAATTACCTTCTAAACTTATTCCACAGAAAATCTGATAGTGGGTTTTTCCATTTTGTAGGAAGGTCCAAGTGGCGTATTCAAAATTCTTAACAGTTCACTAAAAGTAGGTACTTCAGTTGCAATGTGCAGTTTATTGTGTATACTAATGTTATGGAAAATTTGAAAGTGCCGTGTAAACGCCGAAAAATTGGTCCTTTAACAGTTAATGAAAAAACATTAATATTTAATTGTTTTAAATCATTTACAGACAAACGTTTATCTGAAAGTGTTGATGAGACCGTTGAGTTAGTTAGCAGTACACTTGGTGTTGGGAAATCTACGATTTACAGAGTTATTAAAGAAGAGGAATGTGGTAGTTTTCAAATGCCACGTAATGCTCCAGGGAAACCAAAATTTTAAATAGAATATCATTTTAAAGAAGGACTTCGACGGAAAGTGCATGAATTCTTCTTTAGACAAGAATTTCCAACATTGGATAAAGTTCTTGTCTCAGTTCGAGATGATAAGGATTACCCAGAAATGAGTCGAAGTACGTTATGAAAACTTTTAAAAGAAATGAGCTTCCGCTGGAAAAAGAATCCCAGAAAGTCTATTTTATTAGAAAGAAGCGATATTGTCATATGGAGAAGACATTTTGTAAGAACCATAAAGGAAATGAGAAACCAAAAAAGAAAAATATTTTATCTTGATAAAACATGGATCAACGAGGGTCATACACCAAATAAATTTTGGCAGGATAAAACTGTTACAAGTCAAAGGCACGCTTTTGTAAATAACTTATCTACTGGTTTAAACCCACCATCAGGAAAGGGACGCAGGCTGATAATAGTACACATTGGCAGTTCAGACGGTTTTGTTGAAGGTGGTTTATTAACTTTTGAATCAACTCGTACCGGTGACTACCATGAAGACATGAACGCTGATGTCTTTCAAGAATGGTTTGAACAAATGATAGATCTTCTTCCTAAGAACTGTGTAATAGTAATGGATAATGCAAGTTATCACTCCAGACTTATAGAAGGACTGCCCACAACCAAGTGGTGAAAAAAACACTTGCAGAATTGGCCGAGTTCAAAAAATATTACGTACCATCCCGGATCTATACGAAAGGAACTTTATTCCTTGTGTGCTCTTCATAAAGAAAAATTTAAAAAATACGAAATTGATGAAATTGCCAAAAATCGTGGAATGACAGTACTTAGATCCCCACCATATCATTGTGAATTAAACCCGATTGAACTGGTATGAGCACAGATAAAGAGTGAAGTTTCAAGAAAAAATACCACTTTTAAAATTCATGATGTTAAACAGTTGTTTTTGAAGGCCGTAAATAATGTAAAACCTGAAAACTGGGAAAAGGCACTAAATCACACTATTAAAGAAGAGGAAAAAATGTGGAAGCTGGACAATATTACTGATAAAATGATCGAGCCAGTTATTATAAATCTTGGTTCTGAAAGTTCAACTTCTGAATCTGATTTGGATTTGTAACAAGTAGCTCTAAGTTTTATATTAATATTTTTATTCATCTATTTAACATACCTTAGACGGTTTTAAAAACTCTTTTTCTCTTTTGTAATTTCTAAAAATAAAAAAAAAGTTAATTTTTTAAAACCCTTTTTAATGTAGGCCAGTCAGTTCTAATATAGTGTGTGATAAAAGAGGTCACTTTTGTTTCATACACATAACACTTTATAACACTGAAATAATTCAATTATTTTTTACAATTATTCAAAGTAATTTTTCAATTAATCTTGAGCACGCCCATGGAGTGGTCGGAGGTACCAGTTAAAATTATGCTAATTACTCTCTCGTTTATAAAAATAAACTATAACAAGTCACAAACACAATAACATAGCTACACAACAACTCCAAGACTATTTGTATAAGCTTGCAAACTGGCTCAAACAATCGAAAATAAAAATAAATGAAAATAAGTCAACCCACGTAACTTTCACTTTACGACGATAAACACCATCACCATTATATATGAACAAAAATATCTACATACTACATCTAAAATACATCTAAGACAAAAATAAATCAATTAGTTAATTGGAAAAAACTCAAAGCTGTCAATAAATAATAAAATTCTAATTTATAAAACAGTTATAAAGCCAATAAGGACATATGGCATAGAGCTGTGGGGCTGTAGTAGTAAATCTAATATTGCTATTATTTAAAGATGCCAATCAAAAATCTTAAGAGCATATGTTGATGCACCCTGGTACGTAACCAATCAAAGAATCTATGAGGATCTCAATATCGACAGTGAAAGAACTGAACCAACACAAGAAATTACAATACATTGAAAAAGTGAACACACAGTCCAATCCATTAATTTCCGCAATACCTCAACATCGAGTCATCAAAAGACTAAAGCGACGTTAGCCAACAGACCAGTAACATGGACCCGTGATTCTCTCACTGGAGGAGACCACATAACGCCAGAACCAAGGGACAGGATCTAAACTTATCACATTAACTTATAGAATACATTGTTTTATTCTGATTGTTAATTTATTAGTTATAATTAGGTAAAAAAGGTATATTCACGATAATAAGAAAAATACAACAAAGGGAAAGAAAATTAAGAAAATGACAAAAAACATTGGAACGCATTGTGAGGACGCTACTGGAAACAAAAAAAATGGAAGAACTAGCGACACTGTTAAAAAAAAAAACAAAATAGATATTGCAGGAATTCAGAAAACGAGATTAAGGAAAAGAAAAATTATACAGTATGGTATGCAGGTGAAGAAAAATAGGAATATAAAAGAACGGCTTTTATGGTGATAGGAGAAATGAGACAAAAAGTTATGGAATTTATACTCATAATTAAAAGAATATCATAGATACAAGTAAACAGCATACCAAATAAGTTGTCCATAATAAACATCTCTGCACCCATAGAAAACAGTGATGACTTGACAATGACTTAGATTCGTCTCGACGAGACCTATCGATCCATATATACATTGTGGGGTCTTAAACTTAAAGTAAATTTTAACTTCCGGTAATCTCAAAACCGGAAGTGAATTTTTGTACCAAAAGTATATCTTGACAATCTCATACGTAATACTAATAATATTCCGAAAAAATATTTTAATTATCTAATATGGTTTTTGAGTAAAGTGGTGGACAAGAAAAGGGCTTAGCGTTTTAGTATATAAGATTACTTAAATTTTTATAAAATCCACAAGGAAAAATTCCTGTAGCTGGCTGTATACCACGTATAACAAAAAGAGGTTAATCTTTGTAAATGGGTATATTTATTTAAAAAACCCTTAAAAGGGCCACATCAATAAAACAAACGTTTTCGGACCACACAGTCCATCATCAGGTTATTAAAATCGAAAATGCCTAAAAATAAGTATAAACCATTTAGTTAAAACAAACGAGATTGTGAAATTTTGACTATGGTTGAAAAGCAAAAGATGGTTATACTTACTAGGTCATAATGCCTGAGCCACCAAAATATTAGGGTAAAAACCCTTTAAATTACATTTAGTTATGAAATGTTGTACATTGTGTTATAATATAACTGTGATGATCAGTATTAAATTAAATTTGACTACAGGTAACACATGGCTCAATTGGGTTCCAAAGCCGGGTGAGAGGGAACCTCTGCACTCGGAGAACAACGTGGAACTGATTGACAAGATACTTTTGAAGGATGAAGATAACAGAATGTCAATGCAACAAAAACTATAAAAGTTGTACATAGTATTACTACAGCCAAAAGATTCAACAAGTTTTGATGATTTTAAAAAAATAACAACAATCTAGGTGTTGGGATTTAAAAACTTTTTTATTTAATAATTTAGGGTATAATAGATGTCAAATCAATGATGGTTTTATAGTCATGATTAATATAATGACCTGTGCCTTAGGCAACTTGTGTTGCTTTTCGTCGTATGGAATGTGGTCTAAAGTGTATTTAATTTTGGGTTAGCTTGTATTTATGAAATTTATCCTTTTATGTTTAACACATCTAGGACAAGGTTAAAATTAAATAACAAATATTTGAAGCTAATATCAGACCTCATATTTAAATGACTTTATTTAAGAATGCTCCTATGGTGAAAAATTAATAAAATTAAGTTTAGTAAGATGGAAATCTACAGGCTGAAGAAATTGAAGTAGTAACATATGTAATTGAATTTAAAATTGAAGAGACTGGGTTCCTCAGAGACTAATGAGAATGAAAGTAAAAGAAATGACCGAAGAAAAGGAGGGGGGGGGTTGAAGGAGAAAAGGAGTTGATCAACAATTAGAGATAATAGGGGTCCTTTATACTTAAAGTATCTAGCACCCTGAACAAAATCTATTTAGGTGGTATTAAATTCAGTTTGTAGAAACCTGAAATTTGTTGTATAAGTGTGCTACTAAGTTGTTGACCGACAGAAGGTGGACAAAGGTAGATTAGGATTCTTTGTAATATGGTAGATTATGAATTTTTATAAATTGTTAGATAATGTTTGAGTGATTACTAAATTAAAACTATTGGATACATGTTTAATATATGAATTGACCAAGAAATAATGAAAGAGAACAGAATTAACAGGAAAACGATGTAGAAGTGAAGAGTGGATAAGATAGTGAAATGTTGGTATGATGGATGTGGATGGTTCTGAAGTTAAAATTGGGGTCAGAAATTTGTGAGAGGAAGGTGTGACGATATTGTATAAAATGGGTGTTTGAAGAACCACAAGATTATGTAGGAATAAGGTGTTGACGTTTATATAGGAAAATAAGGCAGAGAAAATAGGACAGTATTGTGAAATGTGGACTATGAAAAAAGTTGACGATGTAAAGGTTAAAAGTCACGGTTGAAAGATACATGGCGATTAACACAATTGGGGCTTTTTTGTTTTTCTTTGACTATTTCCAAGTCTTCATATAGATCTAATTTTAGAAAATTTTTTTGGGGAATATTATGTAACAAAGAGACGTCTTCTGGGATGTTGAGGGTATGTTTATGTTGTGCAAGATGTTGAGAGAAGGTGGAAGTGTTCTCTTTTTTAGTGTGTTCTAAGGAACGAGAAGTTGGTGATCTACAGGTTCTACCTATATATGTAGCATCACAATCAGAGCACTGTAATTTATAAACACCACTACGATCCATGTAGTTGATGGGATCTTTTGTATTGGTTAAGCAATGTCCTAGATTGTTCGGGACTTTGAAAGAAATGTGGGTATTCTCAACAGATCTTTTTAGGATGTATCTAAGATCTCCAGAAAGACGTTCTTGAAGGTAAGGCAAAGAAAAATAATGAGTTTTGATGGTCAAGTCTCTGGGAAACGCAGTCTCTCTCAATAGTTTGAGTTGTCTCTTATTTATAAGTTTGTTAATGATATTGGGGTCATATCCATTGTTGAATGCTATTTGTTTAAGGGTGTTAACTTCTGTATGATAGTTGGATTGTGATAGTGGAATTGTTAATAATCGGTGAATGTAACTATGGAATGCTGCATATTTGTGTGACATTGGGTGGTTGGAAAACAAAGGTATGATATGGTCAGTTTGTGTTGGTTTTCTATAGATACTGAAATCGAAGTGGTCCTTTAATCTGGTGATGGTAAGGTCAAGAAAATTAATAGATTGAGATGATTCTAGTTCCATAGTGAACTTAATGTTTGGGTGGATTTGGTTTAATTTAGAGAGTAATAGATCAGCTGAATTTGAGTTACCTGATATGAAGACTAAGCAGTCATCAACATATCGAAACCAATGGAGAATTTCAGGATTTTTCATAATGTGTGTGGATTCTAAGTGATCCATAAATATATCAGCTAAGAAAGGGGAAAGGCAACTACCCATGGCTAAGACATTAGGTTGTCTGTAAAATTTACTATTGAAAACAAAAAAGTCTTGAGCTGGACAAGTATGTAATAATTGAATAATTGAGTTAGTGGTAGACAAAGTGATAGAATTTGCTCGAAAAAGAGACTGAACCAGATTAATAGTTTCTTGTTTGGGGACTGAAGTAAATAGGTTGCTGACATCAAATGAAAGCATTGTGATGTTAGGATGAAGATTTATTTGTTGAAGATTGTTGACTAGATGAATAGTGTTTTTGACTGCAAATCGAGGGGTGAAGTTCGTCATGTTGTTAATGAGATTCAATATGAATTTTGACAAAATAGAAACTGGAGTATTTATGAAACTAACAACGGGACGAATGGGAATGCCCTCTTTATGTATCTTAGGTAAACCGTACAATCTGGGTGTTAGTGGGTTACTAGGTATTTTATAATATGGAGCGTCATGTTCTGAGAGAAATTCTGTGAAAAGTTTATTGGTGGCTTTGATTTTGTTAATGAACTTTTTTGTTGGGTCTTCGGAGAGCAAAGTGAAATTGTTATCTGAAAGAAATGTGGTTACCTTGTCGTTATATGAATTTTGATCTAAAATAACTAGGCAATTGCCTTTATCTGCTTTACTAATAATAAGATTGTGGGATTTAATTTTGTTTTGAATAGACTTACTCCAAATCCTCAAGTTTAATACGTTTTTTTTTTTTTTTTAATTTTTATACTTTTTTAATTTTTATCAGGTGTATGTTATAACATACACCTGATATTTCAAAAACGGACAATCTTAATTAAAACTTATATTTATAAAACTTATATATAGTTGATTGTAGAAAGCGATTTATAGCCAAATGTATTAAAAATTTTCAGGTAAATAGTTTTAGGAGTATTTGACTTAAATATAACGGGAAAAAAGTATAATTTCACATATTGTTTACATTTTTTTGTCCCCTTATTTGTTTCGCCTAGCAGAAAACACACACACTAAACTTTAAAAAATAGGCTTCACTTTTTTCCACAAGTTACATCCACTCTATCTTTACAACGTTTATGCTAAAACACGATATTTTATTGGAACGCGGAAGTTCCTTACTACTTAAAATTCGAACATAGGCCCGACGTCGAACATGAAAAATAATAACTTACCTGTTTCTAAAATTTCTCTGCAACTTTTTGGATAAGTAACGTTAACCTCAGAAGATTTGGTTACTGGATTTAACCGACAAAAAGGTATCTGACTACTACCAACTAAATATTTGCACTGATCAAATATATTTCTGAAATTTTCTCCATTTCCTTGTGGTCCATTTTCTCCATTCTCGTCACCGAGAGTAATGGAAAGTTGCAAGGGGAAGCTTATGGTTTCTCCTTGTTCACCTGTAGAATTTAAATAAAACAACTAAATTTAAAATATTTTGCACAATATATCAATTAGAAAAGAAGAGTGATCTTTATTATATAATTAAATAACATACAGTATTGGTACACTAAACCTAATATTACGTTCATAATATATTATAGTCAAAAAAGTCGATAGGAATAAGATCGAGGCCTTTAAAATGTGGGTCTATAGAAGAATTTTACGCGTGTCCTGGACAGAAACAACTTGTCAATTCTGAAAGAGCCTTATACAAAATACAGGCTATTAAAAAAATTAAAAAGAGCATACTTAATTTACTTCGGCCACATATCTAGATAAATGAAAATTTCTTGGAAATGGAACTTCTACTATAGTAGAAGGAAAAGTAGAACGCCGAAAACCAAGAGGAAGATCTCCAACACTATTCTTCTTCTTTAAGTGTCATCCCTGCAACAAGAGGTTGGCAATCATCATGGTTATTCTGACCGTCGAGGCAGCTGCTCTGAACAATTGCCTTGAGCTGCAAAAAACCACTCTCTCAGGTTCTTCAACCAGGAAACACATCTTCTTCCTACGCTTCTCCTACCTTCTATTTTTCCTTGAAATATGATTCTCAAGATGTTGAATTATTCGCCTCTCATTACATGTACGAGAAATTGCAATTTCCTTTCTTTTATTGTATTTTTCATTTCCTTTTCTCTGCCTATTCTCCTTAACACTTCTTCATTCGTGACTCTCTCTCTACCCATTGAATCCTTAGCAATTTTCTAAATGTCCACATTTTAAACGCGTTAAGTCGATTTATTGTATTCTGGTTTAATGTCCATAATTCAGCTCCACAGTAGAGTACAATGTGTACATAGCATTTAATTAGCTTTATTCTGAGGGCCAATGTCAGATCTTTTCAGCATAAAATCTTTTTTATTTTCACAAAGTTGGCACTTGCTTTTTCAATTTTAACTCTTATGCATCCAACACTATGGGCAGACTAAATGAAAGCTTTGGTGGGAAAATCCCTACACGAAGCTATCCATATGGCACAGGATCGCAACCAATGAAGGCTGCAAGTAAATAATATTTAGAGTGTGATCACGCTCTGACAAGGGGTCAAGAAATGAGGAGGGGCATATATTAGCAAACAAAACAAGCACTAAGGAAGATATCAGCAAGAACTTACAATAGGAACATAAAAAATTAACACAATAATAGTAAGAGAATAAAAGGTATATAATAAAATACAAATAAATCAAATAGAAATATTTGTTTTAGGCAAAACGAAGACAAAGGCAAATGAAAGATCAAGTTAACAAATAACTACATATTAATATTTTATAGTCAGTTCTGTCCAAAGGAAAAAGAAAACAGAAGGGATAATAATAGCTAAAGATATAGCTCAAAAACCTATCTAGAACAAATTGGTTAACTTTGGAATAATGGCAATAACTAGAAAAATAAAAAAGAAACAAATCTGTGCCACAGTGGAATGAACACCGAAAGATGAAACATTGGAATTTTATCTTCAAAGCCTTCAAAATATATTATACAGTACGATAGAAGGGACAGAAAATATAGTAATCATGCAGAGTGGGATGCAAGATTAGGTAAAGACACGAATAGAAGTCTATTGTGCATATGAACAAATAGCAAACAGGGACGCAATGAAAATAATAGACCTTTATAAAAGTAATGATCTCTTAATAAAGAACATTTTATAATAACAAAATATACAAGATAAATATATATTTTTTGTATAAACAGAAATGCGAAAAGAATCGGTCACTACATCACATGCCAGATAAAAAATCAGAAATTGGATCAAATCATAGACTAGTAAAGGCAAAACTACATGGTGAAATGACAAAGGCAGATGAAGAAAATAAATACAGTACAATTGAATTTTAAAATACCAAAAAGTAACAGATTGAGAATTCACAAGACTAGACAAAGACAGATGGACACTAACAGACAGATGAAAAAAAATTAGGGAAATACTAGTTAGAAAAAAGAGAAAAGAAATATAAAAGAAAAACTGGTAGAATTAGGACGTTAAAGAGTTAGTAAAAGAAATTAAAGAAGTATTGAAAGCGTATATCTAGACAAAACCGAATAATAAACCAGAAACAAAGAAGTGAAACAGGCAGTAAAAAAGTGAAAATGATACGTTGGAAACAATTTGAAAAAAAAGTTACGGGAGGATGTAAGATTAATAACAGCAAATTCTGGACAAAAACTTAAAAAAAAAGGAAAAGAAAAAGAAAAAAACGGAATACCAAAAAGAGCTAAACACAAGACTAAAATCAATAAAGACACTGAAACAAATGGATATAAACAAACTAGCCAATAAAATAAAAGTAACTGTAACAACATTAAACAATTCCAAGAAAGATGAAACACAACAGATCAAACTTCGGACAGCTTCAAAAGTTTAAACAAAAACGCGAAGAAAAAATTAGGCACGATCATATAAACTATACTCACAATCCAATAAAAGATATAATACAAGATATCTGCAATATGAAAGTACTGAAAGCAATAAACTCAAGCGGCATAACAAAAATCATAGAAATAAAAAATGAAAAAAATGTCACTGTCTGAGACAGAAAGGAAATAAGCAAGGTCATTGAAAAATTTTACAATCAATTATACTTACTAAATACATAACCACAACAACGACGTACTGAACGAACAATAAATAACACCGGCTCAGAAGAAATACCGACTATGAAATAAGAATGGCCCGAAATCAACTAAAAACGAATAAATATCGGGTAGGGAATAAAACTATAGTTCAAATGTTGAAAATTGGTGACAGAAAAATGAAACAGGTATTAAATATTTTATTTAACAAACTTATTGATGAAGGAAAGATTCCTCAAAAATAGTACAACTCCAAAGTCATTCTACTATTCAAGAAAGGAGGCAAAGCAAATATCGAGAATTACCAATATCCTTGCTATCACATAATTTCGAATTTATATGGCGTTCGTTGATTTCCATAAAGCATTCGATTCCATCTAATTATGAGCAAGGCTTGAATATCCAGAAAATACACGTATAGATTCAAGATGTACTAACATAATAAAAAACATATATGAAAATGCCACCATACAGATAAAGCTGGACGAAAGCACAAAAACTAACCCCATAAGGCTACAACGGGGAGTAAGACAAGGAGACACCATCTCTTCAAAACTATTTACCCTTGCTCTAGAAGACATTTTTAAGAAACTAGAATAAAACAACAAGGGTATCAACTTCAACGGATCATACTTTAGATCACTTTAGATACGCAGATAACATATGATATGTTACAACAATTAAATGCAGTTTCAGAAGCGGTAAACTTAATAATAAACTACAGTAAAACCAAAATACTGTACCGATACAAGACAAATATAACAATACAAAATCATACCATGAAAAATGTTGAACAATATGTATATCTAGGTCATGCCATCGAACTAAAAAATCCAAATCAAGATGCTGAAATTAAAAAAAGCACACAACTAGCATGGGGCGCTTTCGGCAAACTAGCATATATCTTGAAAAACATCTCCATTCCTCTAAAATTAAAGAAAAAGATGTATAAAACATGCATACTATCAGTTTGCACCTACGGCTTGGAGACAGTAGCCCTTACCAAAAAAATGCGCTAAAGAATTGGTAACAGCGCAAAGAGCAATGGAGCGAATCATGCTTGGAATATCACTAAAAGACAAGACTAGAAACACCGAGATGAAACGCATAACAAAAATTAGGGATATTGTGGAAGAAATTACAAAATTGAAATGGCGCTGGGCAGGTCACATAGCCTGATATATGAGACAGGTGGACACTGAGAATTCTAGAATAGAGACCAAGGACGACAACAAGAAGCATGGAAAGACCCCCAAAAATGGGTTGATGACATAAGAGCAGTGGCAGGCAAACAGTGGATTATATTGGCGCAAACTAGAGAAAGATATAAGCAATTGGGAGGGACCTACATTCAGGAGTAGATGGAAAATGGTTGACAAAGAGAAAGAGATGCGATATCTTTAACGAAAAAAGCTTCATCGAGTACCAATAAGTAAAGCAACGATAAGCAAAAGATTGCAAGTTTAATGATATTGGCAATGTTAGAGATAAGCTCAAGTATGGCAGACCCACTGTTTCCGACGACCATCAACTAAACGTATTTTGATTGAACAATCAGATCTGTCGTAGTGTTGTTAATTAAATACTAACAAAGGCCAAATTACATCCATACAAATTAAAGGTTATACATGAACTCAATGAAGACGACTTTGATAGACGCATGGAGTTTTGCGAAAATATGCAAGAATTGTGTAATCGAAATAATGGATTTAAATAGTATAATACCTTGTTTTTCCGACGAGTTCACTTTTCGTTTAAATGGTATCGTGAATAGGCAAAATTGTCGTTATTGGTAAACAGAAAATCCCAATTGGACAATGGAAGTTTATACCCAATATCCCCAAAAAGGAAATGTATTGGGTGGGATTGTTAGAAATACCTTTGTAGGATCGTATTTTTTATGGTACATCAGGATGAAGCAAGTTTACATTCTAGTGTAGTAGTTAGAAATTTTTTAAATGTAACTTTTCCCAATCGCTAGATTGGAAGACAATGCCACAGTAAATGACCTGTTAGGTCGCCAGATTTGAATGTCATGGACTTTTCCAATAAAAGGTTATTTGAGAAGAAAATTATATGAAAACCGACCTGCCAATTTGGTAGACCTTAAACAGAGAATTCGTACTGAAATGCAACCAATTACACCAGTGATGTCAAACATAACCCAAGAATTAATTACTATTAAACTGGGAATAAGCCACAATTAAAGATAAAAATACGTTTATTATACGTTTATTTATTAATTAAAGATAAACGTATTTTTATCTTTAATTGTGGCTTATTCCTAGTTTACTAGTATGTAATTTACAATGCCACAAGAAAATAGCTTCAGAACAATATAACCCAAGAATTTATTGAACGTTTTAGTTACTGTCAATTAAACCAAGGAGCTTAATTCGAGCATTTGTTGTAATTATGTTATTTGTTTGTCTTTAATATGAAATGACTTCTTTAATAATGTTCTTTGTAAAATAAATTTTGAATTAGGTTTTAAGAAATACCAGCACTGGTTTCCTTTACACTCTGTATACTGAAGTTTTATTGTAATGAGTTTGGTACGGTTGTACTCAGAAAAATATGTGCTTTTAATTTTTTTGATAAAAATATGCCCTTTCTATTTAAAAGAAGTATAGATGATGTCACATCTGCTAAGGCAGTGGGGTTAAAAGTTCTTTTTTAAAGGTTAAAAAAAAAAAAAATTAAAAACGACCTGCCAGGCCATTAATTTTGAAAATAATTAAGTCCTGAGAGAATAGACCGATTCCACACTTTATGAATGCATTGTATAATAGTGTATATATGCAATGTACAATGTACAATGCAATGTATAATTTTACCAACATACTCGAATATGTCTCCAGTTTGCAGATATAGAAATTGTCCTAATTAATTTCTCCATTCTTTCATTTTTAGAGTCATTTTTAGACTCACCTGTTACATCCAGTTTGGTAATGGCGTCCGTAGGAGATAACTAAAACAAATTAAGCGTGTTTAATTAATTAAAATAGAAATAATTTTATTCATAAACATAAACATAATTTAAACATTAATATAATTAAAAAATTAATGGAAAAATCCCAGTAGTTGGCTGTATACCATCGTTTAAAAAACATACAGAAGTTAAAACACTTTACAATTGTATTTTGGTATAAAAAACATATCGTTAAAACTTTAAAAAGAGTGTCGTCAAAATTTATGTAGTAGCATAACGCTTTCGATCTAATCAGATCATCCTCAGTGCCTTATGTAGTTGGTAATAACAACAAATATATTGCCAATATTGTTGAGTTGCGTTCCTGGGACGACTTTACTTGTAAGATAATTCTTTCGATTACATATAATGAACTTTAGCTTGAGAATATCCGTCAAAAAAAATCGTAGCATGTAATTCGTCTTTAAAAAGACAACCACATTATGCCATGATGACAGTAAAATTCTCTCGCTATTGATTGCATAGTAAATTAATATTTTAATTAACAATATTTTAGTAAATTTTGACACAAATAGTATACTTATAAATGTGCCACTAAATACGACTTAATATAGTCAAGACAAAGACTAGAGAGGGATGATACATTGGTAACTGGAACAAGACTAAACATAGGTATTAGCTATAATTGAGTTACTGACATTAAATACTGATAATACATATTTTCGACTAAACAATGAATACTATAAACAAAATAAATTTATTATAACAATGGGCTCTAGTTTATATCCATTATTATCCGATATATTTATGAAAGATTTTAAAACAACTATTATTTCTAAACAAAATTTAAAACCCACAGTATGGTGAAGATATGTAGATAACGTATTCTCAATATAGCCTCATGAATCAGAGTTGTTGGACACATTCCTAAATGATATAAACGATAAAGAAAAGACAATAAAATTTACCATTGAAAAGAAATATTATAACACAGTACCTTTCCTGGCTGTTTTAATCTCTAAGAACAATATTGGATATGAGACGCACGTGTATAGAAAACCAATACACACCAACAGATATTTAACTTTCAAATCAAATCACAATATCAATATTAAAAGGGAATCATTTAATCCATATATACGATAGAGCCAAAATTGCTTGTTCTAACCAAAATTCGTTCTTGGAGGAAAAATATTTGTTTACTTCTGTTTCTTTAAGAAATGATTATCCTTTGTCGTATATAAATATAGAATTTTTAACAATCGACCGAATAGAACAGAACAACTTAGAACTAGATCTTACAGCATATACAAGAAATATTACGAGGAATATAATAATAGCATACATAAAAGGATTATCAGAAATTCTTAAAAGGATAGGAAATAATTTCAACATTTCAACAATTTTCAAAACAGCAAACACATCCATATCTATCTCGTCTAAAATTAAACCTGAAAATGAACAAGAAAAAACAAAGAATTGTATTTATAAAATACCTTGTAAATGCGATCAGTTTTATTAAGGTGAAACATAAAGGCCATTAATAAGTGAACATCAATCTTATATTAAAAATATGCCCCAATTATGCTAAATGAAACTAATTGTGTAGCAAATTTTTCCGCAAAAAGCAGTATGATCTGGTTACACATATTAAAAGAGAAAGTTAATTAAAGTAAAATACCAGTATTATTAAGTCTATAACATATCGAGGATACATCATTTATGATGTATCCTCGTTTACTAAGTCGGGATAGTATTATGAGGTTTTTTCCTGGTTTTTTCCTTACGATTTACTATTGAATCACTAACACAAGAATTTTTGCTGTGATAATGGCATGTGGCTGTCTTTTTAGAGACGAATTACGTGCTATAACTTTTTCTGACGGATTTTCTTAAGTTAAAGTTGATTTCATGTAATCGAAGGAAATATCTTACAATAAAGTCGTCCTAGGAACGCAATTCAACTAATATATGTCTAAATTGTCAATATGAATGAGTCAGATAAAATTAAATAAATTATTAGAAGAATGTTTCACCAAGTAACAAAAAACAAAATTTGTTTAATATATTCATGTTTGTATTTTGAGAACGATTCCCGAAGTGGAAATTAAAACGCCAATAAACTTATATTATTGGTTTATTTCCAATAAAATAGTAATCACTTTAAAATATCACAAGAAAATAGATTCAGAACAATATCTTATCGAAAAGCTGTCAGGATAATTCTCGCTTACATAAATGACGCATTTACTGCACCAATTTTTTTGGCGCTTTTTAAAAATTAGAATTAATAAATTAGATGAGCTTTGCCAATGTTTAAGAATGATATAACGAAAAATGTAATACTTTTTTTTTTGTTTTTGCCCAATTATTTTTTAATCAACCTCAGTGAAGAAAATTCAAAAAATTCTAAATCTTTTCTGTGAGTGAATTTGTCGGTTAAATGATGAACGAGAATTTTTTTTCTCCGTTCAAACAACTAAATTGTAGCTTAAACGATTTTTAAGAAATTTGTATTACAGATGAAAAAGATATCAATTATCAAATTGTAAATATAATAACAGACTCAGTTAGAAACGCACAACTCAAATTTTGCAAGAAAAATGACACCAAAAGTGAAAAGATTAGCAAAGATACAAGGGCTCTCATGGAAATACGACGAAACCTAAGCGAGAACGAAAAGGGAAACAGAGAAGAATATAAAAAACTAAATAAAAGAATTTCAGCGGAAATTAGAAAAGATGTAAGAAGATATAATACTAATGTAATTACTCAAACAGTAGAAGAGAACAAAGGTTTAAAGATAATGAAAAGAAAACTTACGCAAAGTAAAAAAGAAATATACAAGCTGAGAGATAAAGACGGAAAGGCAACAACAGATAAACAAAACATTCTGAAAATAACTAGAGAATTTTATAAAGACCTCTATACCAGCCAAAGACCACAAGACAATTTCCCGACACGAGTAAAGACTCTCATAAATCAGGGATCGGAAATACTTTTACCCATTACTGTGTCAGAAGTAAGAGCAGCTTTAAAGGAAATGAAGAACCATCGATCGCCTGGTGATGATGGACTCGTTATCGAGGCAATAAAAGCAGGTGGAGAAATTTTATTAAAATCAGTAAGCGAACTGTTTACTAAATGCTTACATGCGGGTACAATTCCAAAAGACTGGAACAATGCAGTAATAGTCTTGTTACACAAAAAAGGCGATATTACTAAATTAGAAAATTATAGACCCATCAGCCTCTTGACACATATGTACAAACTCTTTATGAAAATCTTAACAAAGAGGCTAACACCTAAACTTGATTTCTATCAGCCCAAAGAACAGGCAGGCTTCAGGGCAGGATATGGCACAAATGACCATTTGCATACCATAAAGATCTTAATAGAAAAGTGCATCGAGTACAACATACCACTGGTTCTTGCATTTGTCGATTACGAGAAGGCTTTTGATTCTGTAGAGTTTGAAACAATACTGGAAGCCCTAAATCAATGCCGAATAGATTACAGGTACACGACACTAATCAAAAACATCTATCAGAACGCTACATCAAGTATACGACTGCACGAAGACACAGAAAAATTAAGCTTAGGACGAGGAGTTAGACAAGGAGACAATATTTCACCAAAATTGTTCACGGCAGCTCTAGAGTCAATATTTAAGGGTACTCAATGGCAAGATATGGGCATCAATATAGATGGAGAAAGATTAAATCACCTAAGGTTTGCAGATGATGTTGTATTAATCGCAGATAACTTACATGATACAGTTACTATGATGCATTCGCTTAAAAGTCTGTCTGAAAGAGCAGGATTAAAGATAAACTTTGAGAAAACTAAAATTATAACAAATCTCGTAATGAGTGGAAATATAACTATTGACAATAATACCATACAACAAACAGACACTTACAAATATCTGGGACACGAAATCAAAATAAGCAGAGACAATCAAACACATGAAATACAGAGGCGAATAGGTCTAACATGGGCAGCATTTGGCAAATTAAGCCATATTCTAAAAAGTTCAATTCCCATGTGTCTCAAGCGAAAGGTTTATAACCAATGTGTTTTACCTGTACACACTTATGGAGCAGAGACTTTAACACTCACGCAAAAATCTGCGAATAAACTTAGAGTTACACAACGAGCCATGGAACGTGCAATGCTGAACGTGAGCCTTCGAGACCACATAACAAACCAACAAATCAGACGAACATCAGGAGTTCAAGACGTCATCGAAAGAACCACGACGCCTAAGTGGAATTGGCAGGGCACTTAGCCAGAACACAAGATGGACGGTGGACAAGACGTATTATGGAATGGAGGCCCAGAAATTATAAAAGAAGCCGAGGACGACCACCGACTAGATGGACCGATGACATTAAACGTGTAGCGGAAAACTGGCTACAAGCGGCCCAGTGTAGAGAACACTGGAAATAATTGAGGGAGGCCTATGTCCAGCAGTGGACGCGATTGGCTGATTGATGATGATGATGAAATATAAAAAAGTATATTATATATAATAGAGGGTGTTTCAAAAACGTATGTCATAACTTAAATCACACCTTCCGGGGACAAAAATAGATTGAATCCAACTTAACTTAGTACAAAAGTGTACACAAAAAAAGTTACAGCCCTTTGGAGTTACAAAGTAAAAATTGTTCGTGTGCATTATCTCCTAAACTACTTGATATTTTGTAATGAAAATAATTACGTTACTTTCTTGTTCTGAAAGAATTTTTCATACAAACGAAACAACAAAATCTAAGAGCAAAGAAAAATTTTAAGGGGGGTGTGCAGCCCTAAATTCCCTCAAACTTTTGAGTACGTTCAAATCAAATAAATTTTATGGCATCATTAGTTTAACACATTATTTTTAAACACATTTTGCCTTTTATCACTTTTTTCAAAAAACAGATTTTTATAAGTTACTGCCTTTTTCATTAACCTTTAAAAAATTACGCGCAACTAAATAAATGGTTTAAGTGAATGAACAAGTACGAAAAATGTCTATAACATGTATAAAT